AAAAAAAAAAAAAAAAAAAAAAAAAAAAAAAAAAAAAAAAAAAAAAAAAAAAAAAAAAAAAAAAAAAAAAAAAACCCCAAACAAACAAACAAAAAAAACGCAATTTTTGTATGAAAAAGGGGATACAACTCTTAATTCTTAGCATATTTTGTTAGTGAATATACGAAATTAGAATTTAAAATCCTGACAATGTAAAATAAAATTGAAATGAATCCCATTATCAATTTTGTATATTTCTATCAAAAGGCGAACAAAATGTTCAAATTTTGATTTGCGACGATTTGTGCGGAAGAATAATTTTTAATTATATAGACTGTCAATCTTAAGGCATTGATCTATTCCATCAAATTATGCCTCGCATCACTGGCTTGTGCGGTGGTAATTCACCATGTTAAGATCTTTTCGTGGGGTCAGCAGCACTACGTTCTCAATACTAGTTGGTGGCGCGGTGTGATATTTAGTTACCACAAAATCCAGATGAAAGAAGGATAGTGAAGAAGGGATTGGTGATGTGAAGGGGGGTGATGACAAAGATGAATGGGCGACGGAAAGAATGGATGGAGATGGAGAACGGTGGTGATAGAATGATTGATTGATGGTAGAAGTGAGGTCGATGTAGTGGTAAACGGTAGGAGGTGATGGTGATTTTCATAAATATGTAAGCAATGTTTGTGCGGAAAGGCAATCTAGTATTAAACTCCTGCAATCTAGCTCAACTGAATGTGGAAGGAAGGATTTCATGCATCACCGAAGTTGTAGGAGTTCTCGCGTGGATGATGATGGAATAAAAATCCTAGAACGAAAAATAAAGAGGCTGTTGGTGATTGATTTCAAACTGGAAATTGGAGCATTGAAAACCTTGCAGATGGTTCGTACCTTCGGAGAATTTCCTCGGGATTTAGACGGTTGAAGACAGAAATATCGTGATCTTAGAAGTTACGATGATGAGATTTGATTTCATTTTTACAAATTTTTAGTATTTCTTAAGAGATGTGATGGTTTAATGTAGATTGTGAATATGTTGAAAAGCTTAGTTTTGAGAAGTTATCTTAATCAGATTTGGTATGGCATCAAAAGAATTCTTTACGTAGAAGGGAAATGAATGTCTAGGTATTCGCTTATAGACGTATGTATCCTTTCACTTGGTTATACGTGTGTTACGATTTATTTGATTTGATTTTTTTTTTGTAGAGAATGAGCTCAGTAAGATTGGGTCCAGTTCTTTCAAGAGTAAATGAATAATTATTATTGAGTGAAAACGAAAAAAAAACCACAAGTCAACGAAGGTTTATATATACTGTAGTTCCGGCTCTCATTAATTGTGCATCACTGTTTTTTTTTTGATATTGTAAATAGATGTAAATAGATGAGTCACGAGTAAAAACATCTTACTTGATTTGAGACCGCAATCATTGTATCAAATTTCTTTACTAGATAAAGAAAAAAAACTAAATTTTGAAACATTAATGCCTTCTTGGATCCACGATCTTTTTTGTGATTCTCGATTTCTTGATTTAGCACTATCGGTAGAATTCCCTTAAAATTTTTTTTTACCAATGGATGGGTTGGAATGTAGATTGGCAATATCATAGTCAACTGTATTGATCCGGTGAACGTGATAAAGTTTGACATTCACTTTGCATAGAAATTCCGCGACTTACGTAAAAAAAAAATATCCATGCCAAAAAGAGAATTAAGGTGTAGATAAGACAAGAGTATGATAATTCTAAACAAGTATCATTTCATACAGTAGCATTGATGTTCACGTTAAGGTAATTTCATAGAATCAGGTAATCTTGAATTGATTGAATTTGTATCTCACATATAGTCGAAGCTAGAATCTTGATTTTTCCCTCCTTTATTTCCAAATTGAAAAGAATGAATTGATTATGGAGGAAACTTTAAATTATTCTCAAAAAACGTGTGAAATTCTCCCAACAATAATTTCTTCTCAATCCTTGTAGTGACCATTGTAGTTGCCTTATTGTCATTTCTTAAATAGTAGATTATTTCGTCGAATTTGATCGGTACCACGAATTAATAAAAGGAATTCCCATTGCCTGTTCCTTTTATCGGTTAGATACTGTCACTCCGAAATTGATCCTATTGGGACGTTCATGGGTGCGTTCATAAGAGAAGATTCTACGTTTTCGTTGTAGCCGGTTACCCATAGTCAACCATAATCGATCAATTAACATTTTTCCCAACATCTGGTCTTCCCATTGTAAAGAAAAAAAAACCAAAAAAAACATGGGAGTCTAGGAGACAGGAAATGGTTTACTTATGCTTGACACCTGATGTCTTCCTTTCGCGCTTTAATCCACTAATGATTCAACCATACGAAATGTGTGTTTTGATCTTTAACTAACTTTTGAAGAGTGACGCAAATCTCCATTGTAGAAACGTTAGTCAATTGACTTATTGCAATATTACTAGTACTGTATATTTAGATTATATTATTCATATATTTAAATTATATTAATGCATTGAAATACCTTGATAATACTTCTTTTTTTCAATATGTAGTACTATATATAATCTTTTACAATAAAATAAAGATATTTTACATGGCAAAGAAGTTTTTTTTCAATACGCTACAAGCGAATCCAAATGTAGTGTTAAATAACGTTTTTATTGAAACTAAATCAAAATACTAAATACTAAAATAGACATATATAGTATATACAATAACTTACTGTGCTTTTATTATTTTAATAATTTTGAACTTATCATTATATTTTCAAAAGTTACAATAGATATTATCTGAAACATACAGCGTATTGTTTTACTTTTATTAAAAAAAAATTTTTTTTTTATCTATCATTAAATAAATTTATTCAAAAAATATAAAAATTTAGATCATATCTTGAATTGATAATAAAAGTTGTTTTCTTGATTAAAAATATCTATATTCTATTTTTCGATTTTAATAAAATTTTTATTTCAAAAATAAATAATAATATCTAAAATAATATTAAAAAACCATAAGTATTTTAAATTTTTTAAAAAATCCATTTTTATTATTGATTCAAGATCTATTAAAAACTTGATTTCTAATAAATTAATAATTTTTTTTTCTAAATATTTTTACAAATCAAGTAATAATTAATAAAAAAAAATAATTTTTTTTTATTAATAATAACATTGTTTTTTTTTTATTAACCCATAATCATGTCAAAATTATTGTCTTTCTTAAGATATTTGAAAAAATATCAAAATAATCTGCAGACCTTCTTATATAATAACTAACACATTTTTGTACATTATTAATTGAAGAACTACACTACTTAAAAAATATGAAATGTTTATTAAACTAGTTTGAATTAAACAAAACTAAGTCTTAACTAAGTACTCTAAATTAGATTTAAGAGACTATATTATATTCTTCTAATAACTTGACACAATATCTTTAAATAAACCAGGGTTATTGTCAATAGTTTGTCACTATTAATTATCCTGAAAAATAATAAATTGCTAAAGTTGATATTGAAAAAAGGAAAACTAAAAAACAATTCAAAGCTCTCTAAAAAGTTTTTACTTAATTTCATAGTTTTTTCTCAAAAGGAGTCTTTTCTAATTAAAATATTCTTCTTTGTTTCATTGAATATCAAAAGAAGTCTTCTTTATTATCACTAATAATGGGTTTCTAAAGTATTTAGTATATAAAATTTCACAAATTACTTATGTCCCTTTTTGAGAAACAAAATTCATAGCTCTTCACTTTAATAGGAACAAAAGTTGAGAAATGCTATAAATTAATCATTTGAATAATAAAGAACAATTGTGAATAGTTTTTTTATAGTTATTAATTTAAAAATTTTAATGTTTCTTAGTAAAGAACATTTAACTTTTGTTCTTGTCTTCTCCTTTAGAAACTTATCTTTAATCACTATCTATAATATCAGATGAGTTTTTATTTAAATATATATCAGATTGAAATCATTCAAAAGAAACTAAAAGATCTCAATTTCCATTTTAAAAAATCTTTTTATCACCTGAAAAACTTAGAAAAGAAATAGAATTTTTTATACGAATCCATCTATTATTTGATATTATAATTGTTTCCTAAGTGTTGAATATATATAGTTGAAAGCAAACTTTTCTAAAACTTTTTTTTCTATATCACTTATAATATAATAGAAATATGTGAGTATGATCAATAAGAGCTTATTTATTTTTCTTAAAACTAATATGTTTTGTATTAACCAATCATCTTTGATAAGGATTTATATATTCAAAATTTAGAATCAGACTAAGGTAAACAAAATTCCTTAGAAAACCATAAAAGTAATAATTTTAAGAAATCAATAAATAACTGGAAAGGGAAAGAATAAGTCTTTTTAATATCAAAAACCTCTATATACTGTACATCTCATTTCAAAGATAAAAAAGATCTTCAGATACTTTACTATTAATTCTTTTTTCTTTGAAAACTTTCTTACCATTGATATTAAAGGTATTACTTAACTTGTTTTTAATTATCAGAGTCAAGTTTTTGATCAAAATAAATTGCAAACAAATAAGGAAGAGTAAAAGTGACTCTTGAAATTACTCTTCAAAGAGTTTTAAAGAAAGTATTAAAACTTTTTTAGTAAAAAAATAAAAGAACTTTTTGTGAATATCTTTTTTGTATATGGTTTGAAAATCAGCAAAAAGAGTTTTTACTTTTAAAAATATTATATATATTAAAATATTTAAAATATTATAAAAAATCTTATATATTTAAAGTCTTGTATCTAATATCTAGTTATGATTTAAAAAAATATATATACAGTATCATATACTTTAAATTATCTATAAATTCAATAATTTTAAATTCAGATCACAATCACAAGGTCCATAGCTTAATACCATATGAAGGCTATATAAAAGATTTATGGAATGGAAAGATCCATCTATAACACAAAACACAATCAGGTCTAAGAAAATACTGATCATCTCCATTCCAGTTTCATACAAACAGGATTTTTTCACTTTTGATTCTAAGCAGGTTTTTCTTCCTATAAAAGACACAATCAATACAACTGAATACAAAACAAATCCAGAAAAAGGTATCAAAACCAGCAACAGTGCCACATCTATCAGAACCATTTGAAAGGTATACTTCTTCTTTCATGAAACTAGCAAGTCAAGCCTGGCAAGTTAGTTGAGAGGAATTCAAAAGGATTGAAAATTCAAAAATAGGGGTGTCTAGGTTTATTAGATAGATAGTTAAAGATGGGTTCCTAAAGGGGGAGGTAGGGACATAAGTCAAATATCCCTCACTAGGAAACATTAAAAATTTTAAATTAATAACTATAAAAAAACTATCCACAATTGTTCTCCATTATCCAAATCATTGATTTATAACATTTCCTGATTTTTGTCCCTATTGAAGTAAAGAGTTATGAATTTTGTCCCTCAAAAAAGGACATAAGTGATCTGCGAAATTTTATATGCTAAATACTTTAGGGACCCATCATTATAGATAGTAGTAGAAATTTAATCTGACCAGATATTTCCCAACACAAGTTATCTGATAGATCCTTTAAAAGTAGGGTTCTAGGAATATTTGGTAACATAAATAATAGAAAATATGCATTCCCTATAATTAAATTTGTAAATTACTTTATCAAGTTAATAAATGAGGCTAAGATTCTGTTCCACAAAAAAAAAATTTAATAATTTTAAAAAATATAATTATAAATTTAAAAGAAAAAAAACTTTATTTGTTGATTCTTTAATCATACTCAAAAAATATTTATTAAAAGTTTTTAATCTTTTTAATTAATAAAGTTTTATTACTATTCTTAAAACAACTTAAAAAGTATTTTTCAAAAATTACTATTAAACTTTTTTTTATTATTTATAAAAATTTTTAATCAAAAACTTAATTTTTAATAATTAAGAAAAATTATATAATATTTTAAA